ATAAATAAATTGCAAGGGCTGCGATTGGCGTACTGTGGCCAACCGCCGACACGTCAGGGAACCGGTTGATCGACGCTGAGCTCGTCGCCGAGTCCATGTTCTCCGCCGACTCCTCCTTGCCGCCCGCATAGCCCGTTGACACTGAGATGCCGATGGGCAGCTTGATCTGCGGACCCACGCCCATGAACGCCCCGGAGAACTGACCAACCGACCGACCGACGATGGTGTGTGAGCCTTTACACATTACACAACGCCAACCCACAAGAACGCGGGGGAGAGGGGTAGGCGTACGATGTAGTCGACGCCGACGCTGACGCCGACGGAGCCGCTGGCGGCCTTGCGGTCGGCCGAGTGGTTGAGGATGACCTTGTTCTGGGAGCGGCCGGACTGCTGGTTGGACATCTGGAGCGCCCACTGCAGGATGTCGTCGATCTCGACCGTGGAGTTGGCGTAGATCGACCAGAACACGGTCGGCGCACCTGTACAGCGAGCACCGAGTCAGACACCGAAGTGCACGGCGCACACGGCACACGGCACGAAGCGTGACATGTGTACCTGGAGCAACGCCCATGATGTACTGAATGTCGAGGTTGGCCTCACCGCCGGGCTGGTTCGGGTAGTTGGGTCCTAAGGAGGGAGCGAGTTAACGAAAGATCCGCGTGTCGTGTTGCGTGTCGTGTGCCGTGTGTGCCGTGTGTGCCGTGAGTGGGGTGGGTACGGTACCGATGACGGTGACGGGGGTGTCGGTGGGGAGACCGGTCTGCTCGAGGAAGAGGGTGAGATCCGAGGGCGCGTAGTACTGCTGCTCGAACTCGACCACACACTGGGTCACGTTGGTCGTCACCAGCGTGTTGGGCGGAATGTTGTACTGTGCGCGACACACCACACACACACACACACACACACACACCACACACACACACCACACAACGTCAGGTATTGGTGTCCGCTGACGATACTAGAAGGGCCAAGGGCTACCTGCTTCCAGATGTTCTGGGGTACGATGGGCGGAGTGGCCAGGACGGGGTAAGGGTTGTAGCCGCTCGGGCCGACATGGTCGTTCTCGAACGCGGCCGCCACCGACACGTTCAAGGCGTCATAGAGCCACGCTGCATTGCGCACATACCAAACATTAATAACAACATTTTCTACAACACAATTTATGTAATTCTATTGACAGTAATGAATCATGTGTGTACCCTTGACCGAGCCGGTGCACGTGGTGTAGTTGCCGTTGAAGGTGCACTGAGAATCGCTGAAGAAAAGGAAGTAGTAGAAGAAGAAGATGATGAGTCTTAAGATTCTGATGATGTGGTGTGATGCGGAAAACGTACAGCCACTCCGACTTGGACTTGCCCACAGCCGGGTTGGTGGAGTTGATCTGCACATAGAAGCCAGCGATGGCCGGAGGAGCCTCCGAGCAAGGCTGTGTATCCGCACGAATCACACACACACACACACACATCAGCCAGAACAACACGCTGGTCGCGACCATCGCAAGAGAGCAGAAAGAAATGGAGAGTCGCAATAACCTTCTTGGCGTCCTTCGTGTACTGGCCGTTGGCGCACACGGGGGTGAAGTTGATCAGCAGCTGGCTACCTCCGCGGGCGCGGACCATAGTCACGACGGGCACGGAGGGCGTCAACGCGGCAGACGACGGAACCGTCGAAGCGGCGGCCGCCTCGATGAGCGACTTCTTGCCTGACCCTTTGCACGTCGTAAAACGAAAACGAAAACATGAGCCAGGTTTTTTTTGACTCCGATGTGAGTGTTTTTTTTTAGCTCCGAGCACCAGCAAGCTTGCGCGCTGCGTACCCACGGGAGGGAAGTCGGTGAGGCCGCTGACGAGGTCGATGTGCGACGCGATGTGGGCGGGACGGAGTACTTCTGGGACGAGCGCAGGAGCACGCGGTGGCCTGGAGGAATTCATGTCGACGACGACAGACATAACCATCATTCAGCGACAGCTGCGCTGAACTACTGTGCGTCTAGACCGCGTACCGTCGGGAGACACGAAGCGGCGGAGGGACACGGCGAAGGCCGCCTCGACCCTGTGCACGGGCATCATCGCCACGATGGCATCGCGGTTGCGCGCCACCTCTGCGCGATTGTTGCAATGGACGTGTCGCACGGGTCGTGTGTGAGCACGGGGAAGTGATTCGCGTTGATATCGCGTGATGGGTGGTCGCCGGTACCGACGGTGGCGGCGCCCTGCTGGTAGAGCCAGTCGACCACGCTCTTGACCGCTTCGGGAGCCGGCGACACTGCATCGCGTACGCAGTCACATCAGACCGTGCAGTTCGTTCACGCATTCGCGCTAACCAACCCACCCACACAGACGCAGGAGCAACGTACCAATCTTAGTGATGTCATCCGTGGTGAGGTACTTGGCTGCACTCGGTCGCCACCACGTGATAGAACGTCAGCCCAACCAAAAAAAAAAAGCAATGAAAACAGATGTGAGAAGAGCTGTACCAT